CAGAGATCATGTCTGAACCAGGAAGCACGACAATTGTCGCATGAGGGAGGCTTTTGTGAAGCGAGCGCATGCAAAAGAGGAATTTGTATTGCTTCTTGTCTGCAATGCAACTATGAAAGAACTGGATCTCGTTTTTTATCTTCATGGCACAGGAATACGCCATGCGTGCGGTAGTCAATCGCAGAATAAGGCAGTGGACATACAACGGACTGCACTGGCACACCTAAGTGAACTATTTTCACATCATGCCCACGGACACACTATGAAGTCAGCATTTGTCACTTCTCGCGGTCATCTCGTGCAAGTCTTTACATGCACTGCCTGCAATTGCACCGAATCGCACACGGCAACTGACAATTGCATCGAGCCTCTTTCTTTTTACTTTCATTTGTCATTTGTCAGTATCGTTCTCATTATTTCCCATTTCCAGCGCTTCTCTCCTTCCTCACCTTGCACTCTATCGTGCGATGATCTCTATATAAACTGTGAGCTCAACTTCCTTCACAAGATCTTTCGCTTCATCGCAAAATCTTAATCGTCGTCTCAACACTTCCGTCCTTCGCTGTGTTTTCCTCCGACGACCCTTTTCAAGAAGGTCGGGACGTTTCTCAAAGCGAGCCCGAAAGTACGCTCGAAGGCTCCCTTTTCTCGCCACACCAATACCTGTTGTTCGGGCTGCGTTACACTAGCCTTGAATGCACCAGAAACAGGACCATTTTCCTCCGACGATGCTGAGGATTCTTCCAAGATGTCGCTAGGCAAGCAGCCGTCGGGCTTCGCCAAGATTTTTTTGCTCCTCGGCTTTCGTAGGAGCATTACCGAAATCTGCCTCAAGCTCAAGCGTGACTTTGGGTTCGCTGTACGAAATGGGCAAAGCCACATTATCACGTCCGACACGTTCAAGAATGTCGATTTCGACGCCATAGATGGCGGCTGTTCCGACCCCCACGACACAGACAACCAGGAGGTGACTCTGCATTGAAGAATCACCAAACGGTGGGTCTAGAGGGACTCTCTCACACTGTCGCGAGACAGTTGTCTGTCGTCATCGACGCTGGATCTTTCCTGCTCAACGACACGTACAGCGGTGTGTTGATCAGAAGCAAAATCTCCGTCGTCGCCATCCATGGCAGTCTCCTGGTTCCCAGTCTCTAGTCTGCCGTTGAGGAAGGGGGGGCGCTCCCAGGTGACAATGGTCCCATTACACGCCACGACGTATTTGTAGTGTAGCTCAGTATGGGCCGGGAGGGCAATGGTGGTTGTGAAGGCACCATCGGCGTATGAAAGCGGGAGCGGGGTAAGAGCCCCCCATTCCGAAAGCTGAGGGAGGTGAGCCACGAGGAAGAGGCCAGAGTCTCGGTCGCAAGGCGAGGCACGAACGTGGACGGTAGGCGATGTGGACATTGGAGGAGAATAATTTGATAGCCATGGAGTGAAGGGAAGCGTGAGAGGTGAGGCAAAAGGATGAAGGGGTTTTGATAATTTGGGTATAGAGGCACAGCAAAGGAGGATGTGTTTGAGTTAGTTGATGGTGCGGTGAGGCGGAAGTGCTCTGGAGGAAGGGGCGTGATTGATATAGAGAAAATATCAAGGCGGAGCGGGATGAACGGAAGCGACGGAAGCGAGAAGGCGGGGAGAGGTGGTGTAAAAGTAATGCAAGGATGTAAAGAAATGAAAAGAGAGGAGGTAAAATAGGACGATAGTGTAGGTCGGACGAGGGGCAATGCGAATGCAGGGTGTCAGCAGTGGGAATTTGGATTTCGTGCGGCACAAACTGGCGTGGGACAATTATCAAGACAAGAGAGACAGAAAGGGTGCAATTCCTCAACGGGCTTCCCTTCCAAGGCTTGGTGATGTGATGGTGGGAAAAGTTTATAGACTGTGTCATGTGCTCGGGGAATGGAGAGACGGATGTTTTCTGGTTCGGCTCTCGTGAAGGCAGGAAAAACTGAACCGGTGGGGTGGTTAAAATGGATTGTGGGTGAGCGTATGGTTACGGTGCGCGGGCATGAGATGTGTTACAAGGGAATGGAGTAAGATGAAATGCGGGAGATACAGTAGATAGAAAAACCGGTTGCGGACAGGGGCGGTGGGGTGCCTTTTTCTGATTGCGTTTCCGAGTGGTAGTGGGGGGGGGGGGGGGGGGGGGCCCCCAAAAAAGGGGGGAGGGGGGGGGGTTTTAAAAAAAAAGGGGGATTAGGGGGATTAAATCCCCCGGGGGTTTTTGGGAAAGAGCCACCG